TTTTATACAGAACGTTTTGTTCCAAAATTTTTTAAAATGGAATCAAGCTATATATCCAGAGAAATCAATCAAAATGCTCCTGAACGTATGTTGGTGGTGAATTGTATTAGAAATTATTGGGTTATTTCTTTCATATTATTAACTCTTATATCACTTGTAGATGTTGGACATTTGATTCTGGCATTCAATGCGTCAATCTCAAATCCCAAAATATTGTCCATGCTGCCTTCATACACCAGTCGGCATTATGAGTACCTTCGTATTAAATTTCCACAATGCTTTCCGGATGTTAAGGTATATAACTTTATCATTTTATAATTTATAATTTCCACGTGTAACTTAAAAATTTATTTTTGATAAATAGATTCCCGGTGAAATTCCCAAACAAAGTATTCAATCTACAAACCATGATGGTGAGTGTTGTAATGATTTCAAATTAAATACATACATATATGGTTATCTAATAAATCCATGCTTTCCATGTTTTTAGAACACATACAATCATTTATGGAAAATACAATAAAAGCTGTCCTCGAATTGGAACGTTTGTTCAAGGTTAGAAACTTTAAAGCTGCACTGCGGGGCATCAAATGTTGTAAAAGGTATACTAATGAGCAGTCGTATGTCTCATGGCTTATGAAGAATGGCGTATATTAATTAGTTTCGTTATTATTCTAGCAATTTGAAATATATATCTCATGTACCTTTGTTTTCTGGCAATGCTAAATTCTTCTTAAAGTATCTAAGTTGTATAAAGGCCCTTATTAAAGTATGTTATATTTGCTAAGATTACAAATGTTATTATGTATTTATTAAAACTTTGTACTTATTAATTTTTTACTTTTTCAGATTAAACAAGCATACATGGGAGTAAATTCTATAAACTCTGAGACAGATACAGCAATAAATTTGTTAACGCTTTCTTATATTATGGAATACGGTTTTTTGGGGCTTGAGAGTTCGGCCCGACAATTTTTGGTTCATATAAGAGTATTTGCTCATGTTGCTTGGTTTTTAAGTCATTTGGCAAAAAACTCTGATAAGTATGTAATTTATTTAAATCATAAAAAAACGTTTATTGATATGTTACTAATGTTATCTTTAGATTTTCGACTCATGGTCAAGTGGCATCTATGAGCCAACAAACGCTCCTGAACTCCTTTAACAAACGTGTGACAGACGTGCAAAGGTAATAACCATTTAATTTAATGCCCGTATCAATGTCTTAAATGTTTAATTATCAATATTCTTTGGATCTTTAGACAATTCGAAGGACACGAACCTTTGATAGATGAAATGTCTCATATCCAAAAAAAACTCACACAAGTCACGATGGAGCCTACGATCACTAATATGATATCTTTATTTGATTACATTTTGGTAGCGTAATTTATGATGAGCCAGAATTTAAATAAATCGAATTGTTTGTCTTATCAAATTTTCAATGCTACTATTTAGGACTTCAATATTTTAGAAATTGGTCTCAATAATGCAGTTAAATGTTCTGAGGCTACGATAATACGGCCAATTTCCAATCCTGCTCCAGCGCCTCCGAAAGACTTTCAGTCCCAATTTCCTCTCACAATTAACGTTGAAGCGGAAGTGAACAACGTGGATGATGCAAGCACATTGGCTGTTCAGGTTTGAGATGATTCTTTGGTGCTTTATTATGTAGAAACTTAGATATCTGAATGTATAATAACTACGTAGTGTCTATATAGTTGCTATTAAATTTAATAGTTACTAGGCAGTTACATCTTATAGTGTCTAAGATTCTGTAATGT